TCCGCGGACAAGCTCTCCTCCCGTGCCGTTCCCTGTGTCTTCCTTGGCTTTGTCCCTGACGCGCCTGGCTGGCAGTTTTACCACCCCACCTCGCGCCGGGTCTTCGCCTCTCAGGACGTCACCTTTGACAAGTCGGTACCCTTTTACCGTCTCTTCCCCTACCGCACTGCCCCGCTCCCCCCTCCGCCGCTCTTCCTCATGCCAGGTGCTGCTTCGGTCGACCCCCTGCCTCCCCAGGGTGCTGCTCCCTCAGGTGTTTCCCAGGTAGACCCGGTCGAGCCTGTCGAGGTAGCTGTTGACTATGGTCCTGTGCGAGGTGCTGAGCGTGCTGAGCCTAGTGGTGCTGGGTCTGGGGGCGCTGAGCCTGGGGGTGCTGGGTCTGGGGGCGCTGAGCCTGGGGGTGCTGAGACTGAGGGTGCTGAGCCTGGGGGTGCTGAGACTGGGGGTGCGGAGACTGCGGGTGCTGAGCCTGGAGGTGCTGCGACTGGGGGTGTTGCGCCTAGAGGCGCTGAGGCTGGGGGCTTTGAGACTGACCGTACTGCGCGTGCTGGCGCTCCTTCTTCACAGCAGCTGCGTGAGTGGTACTCCCAGCGTTACAGCCTCCGTCGTGGGGCTCCTGGAGCTGGGGGGTCTGCTGGAGTTGGGGCTAGTGGTCCTGCGGGTGCCGTTTCGCAGCCGGAGCCTCCCTCCCCTCAGCGGCTCCGTGAGTGGTACGCTCGGCGCTGCAGCCTCCGGAGTGGAGCTCCTGGTGTTGAGGTACCGCCCGCTGGAGACCCTACTTCTGCTGGAGGTCCTGGAGCTCCTGGAGGTGCTGCTGGTGCTGCTGGAGGTGTTGGAGGTGCTGGAGGTGCTGCTGGAGCTGCTGGAGGTTCTGCTGGAGCTGCTGGGGGTTCTGCTGGAGCTGCTGGAGGTACTGGAGGTACTGGAGGTGCTGCTGGAGCTGCTGGAGGTTCTGCTGGAGCTGCTGGAGGTACTGGAGGTGCTGGAGGTGCTGCTGGAGCTGCGGGAGGTTCTGCTGGAGCTGCTGGAGGTTCTGGTGCTGTCTCTGCTGCTGCTGGGGGCACTTCACGGCCGCGGCCGTACTTCGTTCCACTCCTTCAGCAGGTTCTTGGTCAGCCGCCTCCTCCTAGTCCTCCTCCCTACGTAGAGTGTCCTCCGCCTGTCCAGTCGCAGTCACAGCTACCGCCTGCCTCGCCGCTTCCTGGTCCTTCTCCCTACACTGGTCCGACAGGCGGTCTTACAGAGCGTCGTGAGCCTGAGTCTCGTCCTGTGTCGCCTGTGTCCCGTCCTGTGTCACCTGTTCGTACTGCTTGCGCTAGTCGCCGTGTACCGCGTGAGCGTCCGCCACCTGTCCCTGGCACACACCGGATGTCACTGCGTCCCTCCACTGCTCCACAGCGTGTCCCTCTGCCGTCTCCTCCTCCGTCCTCTCTTCCTGCCCTTGCTGACCCGGAGTCTGACTCCGTTCGTGCTGCCAGTCCTACTGTCACGCGTCTCCTGGCCACTGCTGTCACTGACCCTTCTTTTGAGTCGACTGCTGCGTCTGCCCTAGTTGCTGAGCTTGTCGACTTTGCTGCTCGCTGTCGTCTAGACTACGCTGCGAGTCTTGTTGCTGAGTCTGAGTCTGTCTGTCCTCCGTCCGTCGGGGGTGAGTGTGCTCTAGGCACGGACGTCCTTGAGGACAGACAGGAGGACCTTGAGTGTCTTGCAGCCGCTGCGCCCCATCTCGTGTCCATGCTGATTGCCCCTGAGGGAGACCCGGATGCACCAGACATCCCGACTCCTCGATCGTACGCTGAGGCGATCGAGGGTCCCTTCTCCTCACAGTGGCAGTCAGCCATGGACGCAGAGATGGCTTCCTGGAAGTCCACAGGCACCTACGTCGACGAGGTTCCCCCACCTGGGGCGAACATCGTCAGTGGCATGTGGATCTTCAGGGTGAAGCGGCCGCCGGGTTCTCCGCCTGTCTTCAAGGCTCGTTACGTTGCTCGAGGCTTCAGTCAGTGAGAGGGAGTAGACTTCTTTCAAACTTTCTCCCCCACCCCGAAGATGACCACTCTTCGGGTACTACTGCACGTTGCTGCTCAGCGTGACTACGAGCTTCATTCTCTTGACTTCAGCACAGCTTTCTTGCAGGGCAGTCCGCACGAGGAGATCTGGCTGCGCCGCCCTCCTGGCTTCACTGGGTCGTTTCCTCCTGGTACCCAGTGGAGCCTCCGGCGGCCGGTCTACGGTCTCCGCCAGGCGCCACATGAGTGGCACGACACACTGAGGACTACTCTTGCGGCACTTGGGTTCTCTCCTTCTACTGCTGACCCGTCGCTGTTTCTGCGCACCGACACTTCGCTGCCGCCGTTCTACATCCTCGTGTACGTCGACGACTTGGTCTTTGCCACTGCTGACACTGAGGCTCTCGCCCACGTGAAGTCGGAGCTGCAGAAGAGACACACGTGAACAGACCTAGGTGAACTGCACAGCTACCTTGGCTTGCAGATCACCCGGGACAGAGCACGCCGCACCATTACCCTGACTCAGTCACACATGGTGCAGCAGGTCCTTCAGCGCTTCGGCTTCACCTGGTCCTCAGCACAGGCCACTCCTCTGGCTATAGGTCACTCGCTCTCAGCTCTGCCTTCGGATGAGTCCGTAGAGTCGAGTGGTCCTTACCCAGAGCTAGTTGGTTGCCTCATGTACCTGATGACTTGCACTCGTCCTGACCTAGCATACCCTCTTGGCCTTCTGGCCCGCTACGTGGCTCCTGGCAGGCACCGAAAGGTGCACTGGGATGCTGCAAAGAGGGTATTGCGCTACTTGTGCAGTACATCGGGCATGGGGCTCGTGCTTGGAGGAGGGAGCTCAGTTGTTCTCACTGGGCACTCAGACGCTTCTTGGGTTAACGACCAGGCTACTCTGCGGTCGTCACAGGCTTACACCTTCGACCTTGGCTCTGGCTCAGTTTCGTGGCGTTCTACGCGTTCGTCTTCAGTTCTCAGCTCCAGTTGTGAGGCTGAGATCTACGCCACAGCCATGGCTGCACAGGAGTTACGCTGGCTCACCTACCTGCTAACCGACCTGGGAGAGCGGCCTAGTTCTCCTCCAGTGCTGTACGTCGACAACAAGGCTGCCATTGCCTTGTGTGAGGAGCACAGACTGGAGCACAGAACGAAGCACATCGCTCTCCGTTACGTCCTTGCTCGAGAGCTGCAGCAGCGCGGTCAGCTTCGTCTGCGTTACGTGGCCTCTCAGGCCAACACCGCTGATATATTCACCAAGGCACTTCAGCCTGGTGATCATCAGCGCTTCTGCACTTTGCTTGGGCTGGTGCCCACTTTTCCTCACTTGTTGTAGGCTTTGCCTGTACTGTGATCTCTATATATATACTCCTGCCTGTTTGCTCTGCTAGGTTGAGATCACCCTTGCTGTTTGTGCTGCATATATACTTCTGCATGTGAACTGGCCATGTGGCCCTTTGCTTGTGCTCAGAATGTGTGGTGACGTTGTGATCCACCCTGAGCTTGCTTGCCTTTCTTGACTGGTCTTGTGACCCCTTGCTCTCCCCCACTTTGCCTATGGGGGTGTGTCAAACACTATATGTGTTATTGTTGTGTAGGCTATAGTGGGTTAGCCTTTAAGTGGTACACAAAGCTAGGGTTTGCTACTTGTACTCAACTTTTCATAGTTCAATCACTTCTCATTCTTGACAACTCTCTCACGCACTCTCTTACGCGCTCTTTCACGCGCTCTCTCACGCACTCTCTCACGCGCTCTCTTACGCGCTCTCTCACGAGCTCTCTCACATGCACTCTCAGGCACACTCTCACGCGCTCTCTCTCGCGCACTCTCACGCGCATTCTCTCTCTCTCACATGCTTTTCCACTCGCTCACTCACGCGCTCTCGCACGCGCTCTCTCATGCACACTCTCACGCGCACTCTCACGCTCTCACACGCGCTCCCTCACGTGCTCTCTCACGCGCTCTCTCACACGCACCCTCACGCGCACCCTTATGCGCTCTCTCACGCGCTCTCTCACGCGCACACCCACGCGCTCTCTCACACGCACTCTCAGGCACACCCTCACGCGCATTCTCTCTCTCTCTCACGCACTCACTCACGCGCTCTCTCACACGCTCTCTCACGCACACTCTCACGCGCACTCTCACGCTCTAACACGCGCTCTCTCATGCGCTCTCTCACGCGCTTCTCTCACACGCTCACTCACGCGCACCTCACGCACACCCTCACGCGCTCTCTCACGAGCTCTCTCACGCTCTCACGCGCGCTCTCTCACATGCTCTCTCATACGCAACCTCACGCGCTCTCTCACGCGCTCTCTCATGCGCTCTCTCACGCGCTCTCTCACGGGCACCCTCACGCGCACCCTCACGCACTCTCTCACGCGCTCTCTCAGGCTCTCACACGCGCTCTCTCACATGCTCTCTCATACGCAACCTGACACCTCTCTCACGCTCTCTCTCATGCGCTCTCTCGCACGCTCTCTAATGCGCACCCTCACTCGCTCTCATGCGCTCTCTCATGCGCACCCCAACGCGCCCTCTCATGCTGTCTCTCACGCGTTCTCTCGCGCGCTCCCTCACGCCCTCTCCTGCGCTCTCTCACACGCTCTCTAATGCGCACCCTCACGCGCTCTAATGCGCACCCTCACGCGCTCTCATGCGCTCTCTCATGCGCACCCTCACGCGCTCCCTCACGCGCTCTCTCACGCGCTCTCTCACGCGCTCTCTCACGCCCTCTCTCACGCGTTCTCTCGCGCGCTCTCTCCTGCGCTCTCTCCTTCGCTCTCTCCTGCGCGTTTGCTCCCGTGCACATGCTCTCCCTCGCGCTTGGTCTCTCCCCTTCGTCAGATGAAAGTGCAATGCAAGAGGAGACCAATTGACACAGGGCAAAAAACAAGGGAAATTCAGAGGGGGAAGGAGGATGAAAGGACCGGGAACGCACCTGATAACCACGGTGCCTCAGAAAACAACCCGCGCTGGTGCACCTACCCGCGCTCCGCGCACCAACCCGCGCTTGCGCTCGTGCACCCGTCGCCGGAGGCGATGGCGGGGAGGGAAGGAGAGGCGACGGCGGGGAGGGAAGGAGAGGCGACGGCGGGGAGGGAAGGAGAGGCGACGGCGGGGAGGGAAGGAGAGGCGACGGCGGGGAGGGAAGGAGAGGCGACGGCGGGGAGGGAAGGAGAGGCGACGGCGGGGAGGGAAGGAGAGGCGACGGCAGGGAGGGAAGGAGAGGCGACGGGAAGGAGAGGCGACGGCAGGGAGAGAAGGAGAGGCGACGGCGGGGAGGAGGGAGAGGCGACGGCGGAGAGGAGGGAGAGGCGACGGCAGAGAGGAGGGAGAGGGGACGGCGGAGAGGAGGGAGAGGCGACGGCGGAGAGGAGGGAGAGGCGACGGCGGGGAGGAGGGAGAGGCGACGGCGGGGAGGAGGGAGGGGCGACGGCGGGAGGAGGGAGAGGCAGCGGCGGGAGGAGGGAGAGGCGGCGGAGGGAGGAGGGAGAGGCGGCGGCGGGATGGGAGGGAGCAGCGACGGCGGCTGGAAAGGAGGGAGGGGCGATGGCGGGATGGGAGGGAGCGGCGACGGTGGCTAGGAGGGAGAGAGACGCGATGGTGGGGTGGGAGAGAGCATGACGGCGGGGTGAGAGGGAGAGGGACGGAAAGGAGTAAGGGACAGCTAGACGGTAGGTAAGGCGCGACTGCAGGATTGGGCGGGAATGGGCGGATTTGGAGGGAGAACCAAGAAGCAAGAACCAAGAAGCAAGAAGCAAGAAGCAAGAACCAAGAAACAAGAACCAAGGAGACGAACGTCGAATTCGAGCACACAGGTGTGAAAGGAAAAAATCACACTGCTTCCCACTATAGTAAATTGTAAGCGCAATACAGTAAGATGGATGTAAAAAAAAATGTCTATCATAAACACAGAAAAACATTTCACATCCAAATAGTTCTCTGTTAATAAACAGAAGAATCACTGAGTAAAAAAAAAAAAACATATCTGCTGAAAGCAGCAAAAGAGGAATTTTGAAGCTTATTCCATTTTAACCAAATATAATTAACATTCTAATTTGCTCTACATCAGTAAGTTTTTTTATTCACCATCATAATGTTTCTTGTACGAGGATACAACTCTACGCAACCCATCCGACATAAACGTCGAATCTTGTTTTGTTAATATTTACGCAATTCGCGCTTGATACAAATTTTAGTGGTATGAGTATTCAATGTTTTTTTTGTCTATTCTTAGGTAGCACATCGACACAATAGTGTATATTTGAGTTTGGTAATTGCGTTCTGTTTCTGTCATATTTCAGGGGTGTTATTAGCTTGAAAAGTGTGATTGAAAAGCGAGCGCCAATCAGCAATGAGAAATCTAGTTTGAGTACCGACGCAAAACGTCTCTGGCATAATTTGAGTATCAATGAAATTGGCCGGGTTCAACCAGGCCTGTCTCGTTTGCGTTTCTGCTATGTCGAATCTCTCGTGGTCTTCCAAGACTCATTCAAAAGCCGAACCTCTCTCATCCGGCTCGAAAGTGTGGCTCCTCCGCTCACGTGCGCAACCCAACCTAACCAAACCAAACCTCGTTGCTGCCGCACCTACACCCCACACCAACTTTCAACTGAATTGTAGGAAAAGCTAACTAGAAACTATCACTCCCCGACTTGTTTGTGCTAACTTAGTTACATGCGCTCCGTGTTAGTTTTGGGAACTTTTCTGCTTCATTATCTAACCTCGGCGTTTCTGCTAGCGGCGAGGCTTGCGAATCGTTACTGACGAGATTCCAGCCTGGCCAGTCAGCTCACTTCACTAACGGAGCCTCGTAGCTAACAGCGCTCTTATCGTGTCGCGGTTCGCGAATTTCGCACAGGAGTGTTACCGCGGGACTGGCGATGGCGGCACGCGTCGCGCCATACTCGGAGACGGCGGGGCCGGCTCTTGAGACGTCTCAAAAGACGGCTGGGCCAGCTGTGCAATCAACCGATACAAAGCCGCCGTACCTCCAACCGAAGCGCGCTGTTGAAACTACCGAGACCGGCGGCGCGAAGGCGGGAGTGGCGAAGGCAGGCGGCCCAGCGGCGGACGCATCGCTGGCGGCGCGGTTCGCGGCGGCCCGGTACATGTCGGGATTCGGCAATCAATTCGAGAGCGAGGCGCTGCCCGGCGCGCTCCCCGCGGGGCGCAACAACCCGCGCGTGTGTCCGTACGGGCTGTACGCGGAGCAGCTCACGGGGACCGCGTTCACTGCCCCCCGCAAGGAAAATCAGCGCAGGTGGGCAAAAGGGGAAGGGGAGTGGGGCGCAACAATCCGCGCGTGTGTCCGTATGGACTGTAGGCGGAGCAGCTGACAGGAACCGCGTTCACCGCTCTGCGCAAGAAGAACCAGCGCAGGTAGGCGGAGGGGGGGGGGGGGGGGAAGGGAGGGGGGGATGAAGGAGGTGGGAGGAGGAGACAGAGGAGAGGAGAGAGGATAGGAGAGTTCACGAACAAGAAGTAAGCTCTATCACTCTCTCGCCCTGTCTCTCTCTCTCTCGCCTATGCTCACATGCCCACGTTCCTCCCCGCCTGGCCCTCACGGGTGCCTGCACCGCATCAAGCCTGCACCGCATCAAGCCTGCACCGCATCAAGCCTGCACCGCATCAAGCCTGCACCGCATCAAGCCTGCACCGCATCAAGCCTGCACCGCATCAAGCCTGCACCGCATCAAGCCTGCACCGCATCAAGCCTGCACCGCATCAAGCCTGCACCGCATCAAGCCTGCACCGCATCAAGCCTGCACCGCATCAAGCCTGCACCGCATCAAGCCTGCACCGCATCAAGCCTGCACCGCATCAAGCCTGCACCGCATCAAGCCTGCACCGCATCAAGCCTGCACCGCATCAAGCCTGCACCGCATCAAGCCTGCACCGCATCAAGCCTGCACCGCATCAAGCCTGCACCGCATCAAGCCTGCACCGCATCAAGCCTGCACCGCATCAAGCCTGCACCGCATCAAGCCTGCACCGCATCAAGCCTGCACCGCATCAAGCCTGCACCGCATCAAGCCTGCACCGCATCAAGCCTGCACCGCATCAAGCCTGCACCGCATCAAGCCTGCACCGCATCAAGCCTGCACCGCATCAAGCCTGCACCGCATCAAGCCTGCACCGCATCAAGCCTGCACCGCATCAAGCCTGCACCGCATCAAGCCTGCACCGCATCAAGCCTGCACCGCATCAAGCCTGCACCGCATCAAGCCTGCACCGCATCAAGCCTGCACCGCCATCAAGCCTGCACCGCATCAAGCCTGCACCGCATCAAGCCTGCACCGCATCAAGCCTGCACCGCATCAAGCCTGCACCGCATCAAGCCTGCACCGCATCAAGCCTGCACCGCATCAAGCCTGCACCGCATCAAGACTGCCACCGCATCAAGCCTGCACCGCATCAAGGCCTGCACCGCATCAAGCCTGCACCGCATCAAGCCTGCACCGCATCAAGCCTGCACCGCATCAAGCCTGCACCGCATCAAGCCTGCACCGCATCAAGCCTGCACCGCATCAAGCCTGCACCGCATCAAGCCTGCACCGCATCAAGCCTGCACCGCATCAAGCCTGCACCGCATCAAGCCTGCACCGCATCAAGCCTGCACCGCATCAAGCCTGCACCGCATCAAGCCTGCACCGCATCAAGCCTGCCCCGCATCAAGCCTGCACCGCATCAAAGCCTGCACCGCATCAAGCCTTGCACCGCATCAAGCCTGCCACCGCATCAAGCCTGCACCGCATCAAGCCTGCACCGCATCAAGCCGCACCGCATCAAGCCTGCACCGCATCAAGCCTGCACCGCATCAAGTCCTGCACCGCATCAAGCCTGCACCGCATCAAGCCTGCACCGCATCAAGCCTTGCACCGCATCAAGCCTGCACCGCATCAAGCCTGCACCGCATCAAGCCTGCACCGCATCAAGCCTGCACCGCATCAAGCCTGCACCGCATCAAGCCTGCACCGCATCAAGCCTGCACCGCATCAAGCCTGCACCGCATCAAGCCTGCACCGCATCAAGCCTGCACCGCATCAAGCCTGCACCGCATCAAGCCTGCACCGCATCAAGCCTGCACCGCATCAAGCCTGCACCGCATCAAGCCTGCACCGCATCAAGCCTGCACCGCATCAAGCCTGCACCGCATCAAGCCTGCACCGCATCAAGCCTGCACCGCATCAAGCCTGCACCGCATCAAGCCTGCACCGCATCAAAGCCTGCACCGCATCAAGCCTGCACCGCATCAAGCCTGCACCGCATCAAGCCTGCACCGCATCAAGCCTGCACCGCATCAAGCCTGCACCGCATCAAGCCTGCACCGCATCAAGCCTGCCACCGCATCAAGCCTGCACCGCATCAAGCCTGCACCGCATCAAGCCTGCACCGCATCAAGCCTGCACCGCATCAAGCCTGCACCGCATCAAGCCTGCACCGCATCAAGCCTGCACCGCATCAAGCCTGCACCGCATCAAGCCTGCACCGCATCAAGCCTGCACCGCATCAAGCCTGCACCGCATCAAGCCTGCACCGCATCAAGCCTGCACCGCATCAAGCCTGCACCGCATCAAGCCTGCACCGCATCAAGCCTGCACCGCATCAAGCCTGCACCGCATCAAGCCTGCACCGCATCAAGCCTGCACCGCATCAAGCCTGCACCGCATCAAGCCTGCACCGCATCAAGCCTGCACCGCATCAAGCCTGCACCGCATCAAGCCTGCACCGCATCAAGCCTGCACCGCATCAAGCCTGCACCGCATCAAGCCTGCACCGCATCAAGCCTGCACCGCATCAAGCCTGCACCGCATCAAGCCTGCACCGCATCAAGCCTGCACCGCATCAAGCCTGCACCGCATCAAGCCTGCACCGCATCAAGCCTGCACCGCATCAAGCCTGCACCGCATCAAGCCTGCACCGCATCAAGCCTGCACCGCATCAAGCCTGCACCGCATCAAGCCTGCACCGCATCAAGCCTGCACCGCATCAAGCCTGCACCGCATCAAGCCTGCACCGCATCAAGCCTGCACCGCATCAAGCCTGCACCGCATCAAGCCTGCACCGCATCAAGCCTGCACCGCATCAAGCCTGCACCGCATCAAGCCTGCACCGCATCAAGCCTGCACCGCATCAAGCCTGCACCGCATCAAGCCTGCACCGCATCAAGCCTGCACCGCATCAAGCCTGCACCGCATCAAGCCTGCACCGCATCAAGCCTGCACCGCATCAAGCCTGCACCGCATCAAGCCTGCACCGCATCAAGCCTGCACCGCATCAAGCCTGCACCGCATCAAGCCTGCACCGCATCAAGCCTGCACCGCATCAAGCCTGCACCGCATCAAGCCTGCACCGCATCAAGCCTGCACCGCATCAAGCCTGCACCGCATCAAGCCTGCACCGCATCAAGCCTGCACCGCATCAAGCCTGCACCGCATCAAGCCTGCACCGCATCAAGCCTGCACCGCATCAAGCCTGCACCGCATCAAGCACCGCATCAAGCCTGCACCGCATCAAGCCTGCACCGCATCAAGCCTGCACCGCATCAAGCCTGCACCGCATCAAGCCTGCACCGCATCAAGCCTGCACCGCATCAAGCCTGCACCGCATCAAGCCTGCACCGCATCAAGCCTGCACCGCATCAAGCCTGCACCGCATCAAGCCTGCACGCACAAGCTGCACGCATCAAGCCTGCACCGCATCAAGCCTGCACCGCATCAAGCCTGCACCGCATCAAGCCTGCACCGCATCAAGCCTGCACCGCATCAAGCCTGCACCGCATCAAGCCTGCACCGCATCAAGCCTGCACCGCATCAAGCCTGCACCGCATCAAGCCTGCACCGCATCAAGCCTGCACCGCATCAAGCCTGCACCGCATCAAGCCTGCACCGCATCAAGCCTGCACCGCATCAAGCCTGCACCGCATCAAGCCTGCACCGCATCAAGCCTGCACCGCATCAAGCCTGCACCGCATCAAGCCTGCACCGCATCAAGCCTGCACCGCATCAAGCCTGCACCGCATCAAGCTGCACCGCATCAAGCCTGCACCGCATCAAGCCTGCACCGCATCAAGCCTGCACCGCATCAAGCCTGCACCGCATCAAGCCTGCACCGCATCAAGCCTGCACCGCATCAAGCCTGCACCGCATCAAGCCTGCACCGCATCAAGCCTGCACCGCATCAAGCCTGCACCGCATCAAGCCTGCACCGCATCAAGCCTGCACCGCATCAAGCCTGCACCGCATCAAGCCTGCACCGCATCAAGCCTGCACCGCATCAAGCCTGCACCGCATCAAGCCTGCACCGCATCAAGCCTGCACCGCATCAAGCCTGCACCGCATCAAGCCTGCACCGCATCAAGCCTGCACCGCATCAAGCCTGCACCGCATCAAGCCTGCACCGCATCAAGCCTGCACCGCATCAAGCCTGCACCGCATCAAGCCTGCACCGCATCAAGCCTGCACCGCATCAAGCCTGCACCGCATCAAGCCTGCACCGCATCAAGCCTGCACCGCATCAAGCCTGCACCGCATCAAGCCTGCACCGCATCAAGCCTGCACCGCATCAAGCCTGCACCGCATCAAGCCTGCACCGCATCAAGCCTGCACCGCATCAAGCCTGCACCGCATCAAGCCTGCACCGCATCAAGCCTGCACCGCATCAAGCCTGCACCGCATCAAGCCTGCACCGCATCAAGCCTGCACCGCATCAAGCCTGCACCGCATCAAGCCTGCACCGCATCAAGCCTGCACCGCATCAAGCCTGCACCGCATCAAGCCTGCACCGCATCAAGCCTGCACCGCATCAAGCCTGCACCGCATCAAGCCTGCACCGCATCAAGCCTGCACCGCATCAAGCCTGCACCGCATCAAGCCTGCACCGCATCAAGCCTGCACCGCATCAAGCCTGCACCGCATCAAGCCTGCACCGCATCAAGCCTGCACCGCATCAAGCCTGCACCGCATCAAGCCTGCACCGCATCAAGCCTGCACCGCATCAAGCCTGCACCGCATCAAGCCTGCACCGCATCAAGCCTGCACCGCATCAAGCCTGCACCGCATCAAGCCTGCACCGCATCAAGCCTGCACCGCATCAAGCCTGCACCGCATCAAGCCTGCACCGCATCAAGCCTGCACCGCATCAAGCCTGCACCGCACCGCACCGCATCAAGCCTGCACCGCATCAAGCCTGCACCGCATCAAGCCTGCACCGCATCAAGCCTGCACCGCATCAAGCCTGCACCGCATCAAGCCTGCACCGCATCAAGCCTGCACCGCATCAAGCCTGCACCGCATCAAGCCTGCACCGCCTGCACCGCATCAAGCCTGCACCGCATCAAGCCTGCACCGCATCAAGCCTGCACCGCATCAAGCCTGCAC